ATTGCAAAGTCCTTAATTGAAAATAAGCAATTTAGAGAAAATTAAATACAATACTGATATTTTAACTTACTTCTGAATGCCACCCTCTTCCAACAAATCGTACACGCTATTATTATATATTTCTACGTATGTTATAAATATTGAATACATATTGTCTTCATCGATTCCTTGTATGGGAGGCACGTCACACGATGCTTGCGATGCAATTTCAGGGTCTGAATCTTTACGACGTATGCCACCGCGATTACTGGCAAATCGTTTATTCATTTCAGCTTGACGTTCGAGTAGCGCATCTGCCTCCGACAAAATTTCAAAACCATTTAAACGATCTGGCTTAAAAATATATTTTTTAGTTTGATAATCTGCTATAGTTTTAAATAGCGTGTCAAGACAACGTGGCATAACACCACGGTGGCGTGAGTCGCCAGTCATTGTATATGTCTTTCCACTGCCTGTAACGCCGTAAGTAAATAATAAACTATTCCGCCCTTTAATTAAATTCTCCACTAACGGCTGTGCAACTGCAGCAAAAACGTCATTTTGATTGGCTTCTGGTTCGAATACATGCTTAAATATGTATTGCATTTCACGCTGCGCTCCTTGTTTGTGCAATATTTGGTCAGGTGGTGTTAATACAACGGTCGTACTATTTTTAACACGAATACTTGATAGATCCGCACTTGATTGCAGTGGACGCACTCTACAAAACACATTTACAGGATCTTTAATTTTATTCGCGGAGTTTATCATCTGTTCCGTTTGTTGTGCGCGACTCCTTGGGGTTTTCGGAATGCAACGCAATGGTGTACGCGCTGTGCTGTAATTTTAAACACAAGAAACTTTAAATAATATATTAATAATTTTATAAATTGTTACTAACCATGTTTTCATTTTGATCTTTTTTAAAGTTTTTTTGTTTTAACTTTCACAATACATTCGATACGCAACTAACAGTTTCCACATAAATGCGTGCTTGAATCGCTTTAGTTCAGTTATTTTGAACACACTTTGACAGCTAAACGACGCGGTAAGATGGCGTTACTCTAGTAATGACGTGTGGGTTATATAGAATTCAGCTTCAATGAAGGTTCAATTATTGTGAATTGTTACGGTAAAACACCACAAAGAGTATCACATTACAATATATGGTAAATAATTATAATTTTAGTACAAATTAGTATATGCTATGAAAATGTTATTGCAGTCAATATAGTAAGAGTATTCATGAACCTTCATAAATATATATAAGCAACACAAATTTATTTAAATTTCGATAAATGAGCAATTTTTTCAAATGTTCATCACATCACATATAAATAAAAAGTAATTGGAAAGAAATAAAAAAACATTATTTATTGAAGAAATTGACTTAGTTTATTTATTAAACTAATTCAGTAATTACGTCTTCCTTTTTTTGTAAATAGTACAAAAATAAATATTTGTTACCATTAATATAAGAAATGTGAGAGACGTTTAAAGCCTGATTTCTTAAAATCATTGCAGACGGTTTGTCGTGCATTTTGAATGTATCAGTAAAATATATTTGTGAGCATTTACACAGATTGTACTTAAAATGCCTGAAAAAATATCAAAATATTTGGATTTTTATTTCATGTTAGTTCTGTTCCACGAGCTACTCGTAGTAACTTTGAGTAACACTGTGTATACATAAATGCGTTCCACCATTTTCGAGTAAATGAGAGCATTTGAGAGAGCGTAACATCCCTGTCGAAATTTGAAAAGGCTACACAGACTTTACTCGTATATTTAACTTCAAGTAAAATTTGTTGTGATGTTTGAATCAGTTATTGTAGTTTAAATTTAAATTTTTGTATTGTTTATTTGCGCGGCACTGGTGTTCTCACCAGATTTTACACAAAGTTATTCCATGAAAATCTGTGTAAAAAGCGTAATTTGGCACTTTATTTGTGTTACGTTATTAGTTTGTACTTTACTTGTGTTTTACAAATCCATTATTTTAATAAATTGAATTTTTAGCTGATCTTATAGCTGTTTCGAGTATTGTCAAATACTCAGCATCAGAGCTCTTGAAAATAATTCTTGTATTTAATTATTCGTAAATAATTTTTTTTTAAAATTTTAAGATCCTGGAATCATGCCCTGCCAAATTTGAAGCTCAAAGTCAGCGCTTCTTAACTAACTGACCAAAAGCCGTACTTGACTTTTTTTGTTCGCACATGTTTCTGGAGTATTTTATATATTTAAATTCGAATATTTTAGTATTGATATTTATTTAACATTGATTTATTCATCTACTTATTTATTTTATTATACGTTATAATTTTAA